GTATTTCTTCTATATCTTAAAAAGCCTTAAACAATGACTAATAGATTGCTATTGGTTTATTATTTTTTGTTTGCTTATTTTTTTTATTTAATTAAAAAAATACCTTTGACCATGGACAATTGTTGGTAATATTGTGCACGTACAATAAAGTATTTTGTGAACATATGATGACTTGCTCAAAAGTATCAATAATCAGTAATCCTGAAATGGAGCCAATTCACAATTCTAGTTCGACATAAACAAATTATACATGAATACTGTATATAAGCAAGGCTTTTATTCCCTCACCTACTATATGCAGCTAACCTTGCTTTCCTGGTTCCATGCAGCATTTCACATGTCCTCCTATAAAAGCAGCAGGGCTCAAATGTCCTCAGACTTTTCAGAAAATATATGTGACCAGATAACTCATGGCCAATTGACAGCAACAACATGCATAAAGAATAACCTGTTATCTTCCCATTGTTGGTAGAAGCTTATTTGAAGCTATCATATGTACAAACATGTAATATATCTAACTGAAGCTACTTTTAGCAAGCTAATGTTAGCATCTTCTAGACAACGGTAAACATTTTTTTAAAAACATGGTTATAGTTAAAGGCCAATCCAGGCAGCAAATAGTCCTACAAGTGAAAATGTCTTGGTTAGTCTGAAGCTTAACTATGTAATCATTCTGAATCAAGTTCACACTTCTGTTCCTCTTTGAAGCATTTGAAAATTACAATGTAAATGAATATCCAGCAAACTTTCCTGTCCTAAACAAAATATACTAATGAAAATTAGTAAACACTGGGCAGTATTTCAGAAATATTAATTATTTTTTATTATTTATAGTAGTAGTAGTACTATCAGAAGTTGTATATATAGAAGTATATTTGAAAATATATATTTTTGCCATTTCTATAGATACATTTTCTTTTAAAAGCATACAAGAAAAAGTTGCATCTCTAATAAATCTTAGAAATTATTTAATAGGTAATAAATTATGCAATAGCAACCAGGATGTTAACAGTGGTGAGTAATCATTCAAGCTCAGATGCTGCTGATATTAAAAAAGTGTTTAATCTAAAATCCAGAGCTTCTGAAAATGTGGAAAGTGTTGAGTAGAGGTCTTCCCTCGGTTTCCCATGAAAATTTAGAAATGAAATCGCATAAAAAATRGAGACTTTTCATTCTCTGTATCCGCATGTTTTTGAATCCATCTTTCTTGAGAAATGATGCACTAAGCATAAGCAGGGTCTACCTTTTATGGTCCTCGAGGAGCAAACAGCAAACTTTACTAGCAGCAGACCTCTATAAATATTCCTAGCAAGGCTGACCTGGTTACAGGTTGCCCTTGGGATTGCAAATTAGCATCTGAATACAAACACTACTGTAGCTTATTGAAGATAGGCGCAAGAGTGGCAATACTGATGAGACTCCGCCACATATGCCACCATCCAGAGCATGAGCATGGGGAGTACCCATAATCCACGCAAAGGTCATAATTTSACAAAGTAGCAAAAACATCATAAATACATTTAGACTGTCTCCTCATCTGTGGCAGAATAATATTAAACAAACTGAGTTCATTATTCTTAAAACTTCACATTGTTTGGCTCAACTCAAGAYGCAGAGTAGACACTTGCAAAAGTACCTTGGAAACAATGTATAGTTACTATCCATATAAAAACGTTTCATTATACTCTAACAAAAACAAATGCATGATTTAAACACAACAGATATATCAAAAATGATCTACTTTATGTAAAAATGTAGTAATTTGTAAAAGAAAAAAAGCAGTCACTGAATATTGCCATTTGGTCACAAATTTATTTGGAGTGTGTTGCAGTCTTCACATTATTCACAATAAGCAATAAGTCAATGAGCCTAATATGTTGTTGTGCAAAAATTGTTCTGAATGGAACTGAAGTTCAAAGCTAACAAATTTAAATAAAGCAAAAATAAAAATATATGTTATTCAACATAATCATATAAGACTTAGTGAGCACTTATTAATAAGATGTTTAAATACATCATGACCAGTCATGTTTGCTTACATTTCACTTCTATTACAAATGATACTTTTTTATGTTTTTCTCTTTAAAGTGATATAAAACAGACAAAACCTCATGTGTCAAATTAGTTTTATCAATTCGTGTTCTGTTTTGTAGATTAGAGGCCGCATCTCTTCTACAAATATGATAAAGTGGATTGGAGATTGCAATTTACACTTAAAATAATCTATGCAAAATGAACAACGTTGCTATGCACAAACACTGTCACACCACCGGTGTTGATTTGTAGCCTTTGTAGGTCAAGGGTTTTTTAATTTTGAATAAGAGGGAAATTTTCTTGTGTCTTTTCTTGCCAGGTGGAGGATTGTTCTATCAACGAATCAATCTTACTTTTTTTAGAAAGTCTTGACCCCATCAGCTGCAGAATTTTGATTCAATGCAACTGTAGCACTGTCATAAAGGAACATACAAAATACAAATACTAAAACACAGTTGAGAGGATTTGTCCAGTATAAAATAAAATTAAATTAAATTAAATTAAATTAAATTAAATTAAATTAAATTAAATTAAATTAAATTAAATACACACCTATAGTATGCAAAAACAGTAAACATATTAAAAACCTACTATAGGCAGCTGACTGTGCAACATAGGCCACATTCTTATTTACATGKAGATTGGGTATCTGTGATCTGATCACAGGGGGTCCTCAAGATTTATTTATTTATTTATTTATTTATTTGTTTATTTATTTATTTTTACCAAGTCTGAATATTCATGCTTAGAGCTGTGTAGAGCTGTTCCTGTAGAGCAGGAAGCATGTTTGTGTCAGCTCTGAATAGGTCCTTATGCTACTGATGAACTATTTCCACTACAGGTAGCATCGGGTATTACATGTCAGTATGTTTATAAAAAAGAATTTAAGACACTGATTACAGTCTTAAATAACACTTAGAAAAGTCATTATAAGAAGGGAAGGCAGCTGCATGAATTATGTTACTTACTGTATGTCTGATTCAAAAGTAAAGCAACTGTTGATTTTTTACCACCATTTTTTCTGACATTATAAAATACCTTGGTTTTGCATTATGTTGTATTAAAATGATGAATGTACATTTGCATTATTGACTGTTGTCATGTGCCATAATATATTTGTTCTCTGCTACTTGACCTGTAGGTCTGTAACACAATCATTCTGACAAAAAAAGATAGAAAAATGAAAAGCCATACCTCCTGCCAGGATTTGTTGCTCCAGTTCAGCCATTTGTTTCCTGTAAGCCCTCAGCGCTGCCTCCTTAAATGTGGGACGAACACGCTTTTTGGGTGGTTCTTCTATTGGCTTTTCCTCAGGAACATTGATGTTTTCATCTCCCTGCTGTTGTTGTTCCACTTTTTCAGTTACTTCAGCAGCCTCCTCTGCTATCTCCTCCACCTCTTCCAGCTCCTCTATGCCCTCTTCCATTTCTTCTGTCTCATCATTGTCCTCGGTCTCATCTGCTTCTTCAACATCTACATACTCAACCATTGCATCATATTCAGCAGTGTCCTCAGTGAGCTGGTTTTCATAGTTCTCACTGTACTCTTCATCATACTGCTCATCCAAACTGCAATCATACTCCAAAACATGCGTCTCTTTACTTGCTTCATATTCATCAGACGTTTCAAAAACTTGAGAAGCTTCGGGTCCTTGAGTAGGCTCAATGTTTTGGGATGCCTCAATGTCTTCAGACACATCATAATCCTGGGAGGTCCCACACTCTGGTTCAAGCTCATCAGGCTCCTTATTTTCATTCACATTAGTCCTGTTCTCCAGGTTAGCTAGTACCTGCTCCATTACTTCAACATAATGGGTCTCACTGTCCACCGACTGTTCTCCTGCTTCTAATGCTGTTTTATCCTCTTCAGCCTTATAGAATACAGGCTCTGTGTGGATATTTGAGTCCATTGTAGTACAAGGGGTATTTGCAGTAGAAGTGGACATGGTACGAAAACGTCCCATRAAGGAGGAAGATGAGTTGTTTGGTTCCTCAGGAGGAACAGGGGTAGTCTGCGAACCTGACTTCCAAACAACCTCCAAAGCTGACTTAGCTCTTTGAAGCGTAGATCCAAAGCCAAAACCAAACGACTTCTCACTGAGATCAATGCTCAGTCTACTGCTCCAAGACTTGGGAACCTCCTCAACCTTCTCTGTTCGAATTTCGCTCTGGCTTCGATACATGCTTGTGGACTTGCTCTGGGACTGATGAAAGCTATGATTAACATCTAATTCAGGGAATTTTTCATTATGACCTTTTATGGGGGTGTCCTTGGAAATATCTTTAGAACTTATTTTATTTGCTACTGTGGGAACGTCTGTTGGAGCTACTTTAGCTGGCTCTTTAGGGGTCACTTTAAAATTTTCTTTTTGGAGTACTTTTGGAGCTTCTTTAGGTGGAATCTTAGAAACTTCTTTAGGGGCTACTTTATTCGTCTCCTTAGGTGCTACTGTAGGTAGCTCTTTTGGGATCTCTCTGGGAAGAGTTTTTGAAGCTTCTTTGGAAATATCTTTAGCAGCAACTTTTACAACTTCTTTCGATGGAACTCTTGGAGCATCTTTAGCAATGACTTTAGGGGATTCCTTTGGAGACTCTCTAGGAGTTGAGTCAGGGGTCAAAACAGGGGTGTCAATTGGTGTTATTTTTGGGCTCTCTTTAGGTGAATCTTTAGGACTTTCCCTAGGAGTCATTGCAGGGCTCTCTTTTGAAGTCACTTTTGAAGAGACCTTGCCAGTCTCACCAGTAACTGACTTTGGTGTCACTTTAGACACCTCCTTAACTACTGGCTTTGTGGTTTCCTTGGGTGTGAATTTAGGAGTGTCTTTAGAGATTACGTGGGCACATTCTTTAACAGCTGATTTTGATATTTCTTTAGGTGAGTCTTTAGTGGTGACTTTAGATGTTACTTTAGATGAAACTTTAGCAGAAATCTTTGGATTTTCTTTAGCCAGTATTTTAGGGTTTTCATCCTTAGGAGTCAATTTACTTTGTTTTTGTGTTGCTTTAGGAGCAACTTTAGGAACCTCTTTCGGYGATGACTTTGTGCTTTCTTTTGTGATAACCTTACTTCCTTCTTTAGACTGCCTGGCAGAGGTCTTGACTGATTCTCGTTCTGTGATAGGAGGAATAATGTGGGTGGTTATAGTTGGTAAAGAAGGTTCCCTGTCAAGCATCATAAACTCTTCATCTCCCTCAAACTGCAAATCAACCTCCTGACATTTAGTGATGTTCTCTGGAAAACCAGGGATGGTTGATGGGTCAAAGGGGCTGCTAACCTCTATAGAAGCTTCCAAGCCAGAATCAGCTCCTTGTTCTAGATGATGCCAGTCTTTCCATGGTGACAGATCACCTTGCAAAGATAACTGGGAACCACTGTAGTGACTTCTATCCCCAGACATGCAGACAAGCCCATTGCTCACCCCACTGTCAATAGTTTCTGTAGTTTCAACCTCATTGTGTTCATAACTTTGATTACCATGACTGGGAGGGTGACTAGGGCTAGCATACCAAGAAGAGGCCATGTCCTCTTGTTTTCGTTGCCACAGTTCCTGATCAGAAGAGGAGAGCAGGGAGCAACCATTTGCTCGTGTGAAGTACTGGCTTTCTGAGAAGTCTTCTGAGTAAGACTGGCAAAGTTTTGAACAATCAGACTCAGACCGACTAAGTTTAGGAGTAGAATAGTCACTCTGAGAAAGCCAACCAGAGGTCAAATCAGAATAGTAAGTTTTTGCATGCTTGTCAGGGTCATAATAAGGATCATCAGCATAATGAACTGTGCCTGAGTAGCACGCTTCATCTCCCGACCGGCTGTGGTCGTGGGACCGTCTTTTTTCAGATTTGGCCTTGTGAACAGGCTTTGAAATGACCATTGCATATTTATTTTTACTTAACTCATCAAGTTCTTTATCACTGTCCATTGAGTCCCAGTCATCACTCTCTACTACTTTGTCTTTTCCTGAGACTTTTATATCCATACTTTCATAGGTTTGTGAGGATGTCATGGTTTTGTCTTTTCTCTCCTTCCCATCACTTGGCAAGCTATCAGTAGAAACTGTGATCCCTGTACCTTTAAGCTTATAGCATTTTTTTAAGACTACATCCCTATCTTGTGGTGTGGTAAAAATAACAATTATAGGACGAGGTTTTGCATTAGAACATTCTCTTTGTTGCCCTAATCTATGCGCTAACTCGATTTTAATTGTTTTATGGGCATCAACAAAACCCATTTTTTCTTTCAGCAGCTTATATATTAAACTTTCTGTTTTTTCCGAACGTTCTTCGGGAACATTTAGGAATCGTAAGGTTAAATTATTGGCCTGGTGGCTGATTTGTTTTATGTAGTCATGAATGTCTCGTGTTTCCCTTCTGGACTGGACAAACCCTGAGCGAAGCTGTTCTATCTCACTCTGAACTACCTCTACACTGCTGGAGATCTCATCGATAGAGCTCTTTAGTGCATTTACATGACCACGAAGCTCAGATAGTTCTGTCTCTATTTGGCTGATCCCCTGAAGCTCCTTGAAAATCATTTCCATTACATCCTGGGTCTGACTGATGCAACCTGTTGAAGATGACCCAGGCTCCAGAGTTGAGCTTTTTTGCTGCCGTCCAGCACGGTCCAAAGATTTGCTCCGAATGCCCAGAGTTTTCCTCCAGTTGCTCACTTCTGAGTCTGAGGAGACACATTCTTGGCTCTTTTTCCATTTTCTTAACTTGCGTAGAGCACCCAGCCGAAGTGTATGTAAACTGGAACGTTCCACTCGTTCCCCCTCAGAACTGCCATCAGAAGGAGCTAAACTGATGAGACTCTTCCTATTTCGTCTTACTGGCATAGTGTGTGATTTATGCTCATCTAGTCTCCGGACAGGTTTTGTCTCACTTAAGAAGTCAGAGTAGCTACTATCAATCGAAAGAACGTCAGGAAAAATGCTTTCATTATTGTTCAAAAAAATTGAGTTTTTTGGGAGTCCATTTGCTATGGCCACACGATAACTGAAAGTGGGTGACAAAGAAGAGCAGTCGTTCTTTCTGTCGTCCTCCTCAAGCGATATGTTACGTGCCGAAGAGCATTTGGAAATCTTTTTAACTGTAGTCTTAAGAGTGGTTGAGAGAGTTAAATTCTGTGCTTGCAAATCAGTGGTTGATTTGGGCTCTTTATTTTCACTTCTTTCTTTCTTCTTTATTGGGTTTGCCAATTTCTTTGTAAACATTCCTTTGCAAATCTTTTCAATAAAGAATGTTACAGTCTTGAGTAGGGCAGCAACCATGGATGGTGATCCTGTGAACTGGTTTTATCATCAGGTGAAAGAAGGAAATTTCCGAGAATGCAGCGTAGGTAAACCAAGCACAACTGGCTTACGCTTGGCAGGAGAAGCCCAGCTCAAAATCACTAAAACCACAGTCTGTGCAGAGAGCCACAAGTGTTTCTAAATCCAGTGTCCTTCCTCCAGAAAAAGGAGTATTCTCTGAAAAAAACAAAACACACACAATTTATTTTTAYATTGCAGTTTGATTAAGCTTTCATATTACACAGAAAAAAGTAAAAATACAAATAGTAATCTAAGAAAGAAATTACATACAATCTCCTAAGTCAAAATATCGACAAAACAATATCGCAAGTGTTTTATTTTGCTGCCACACCCAAATGTTCGCTAAAAGTATCTGAGCACTTAGACAAAAGAAAATTACCAGGGTTATTCCTTAATGTTTTCTAATAATTGTCTAAAAAGTATTTCAGAATTATAAAATCTTCATAAATTCCTGCAGACAATAATGTCTAGTATGTTGTATGTTGGAGCTCCTATGAGAGTAAAAGACAAAGACAGTGTTGAGACAGTTTGTACAGTCAAGTATGTGAAGTAAGTGTCAGTCAAGGTCAATAGACCCAGCGGTTACACTAATGCTTCTACAGCATCTACAGCAAATGCTAGCCAATTATTTTAATTGATTCAACACAACAGCACTCTTGTCAGAGTGTCTGCGCCACACTAAGCACCAAACTATTTGTTTATACTTCTAAAAACTATTTTTGCAGAATATGTTTGATAATGAATGCCAAAGGTAATATTTCATTTGACAGAATTAACAAAAAAAGTGTCATTCAGATAAAAGACAAAATGTGTGACTCTTTTTGCTTCCTGCTGGTTTAAACAAATTGTATAAATGCCTTTGCTAATTACAATGACTGCGTGAATCCCTTATAATGTTGAACACTTCATGTCCCAAATTAATTTAATTAGTATGCTTCAGCACCTAGGCCTASTTGCAAAGAGCACAACGTCACAATCTTATAGTGTTTGGGGAAAAAAGCCAAGTAATTTGAACCATGTAGAGTTTAAGCTTCAACAGCTTGGGGTGGCTCTGAGAGGTGTGTTTTATTTAGAGTGGAACTGGTCAACTGCGTCAAAAGACTGATGTTTTGTTGTGCAGAGGATCGGACAGCTGCTCCACATTAGTTCTGGGGTTTAGAGTTTGATCTCTCTACAGTCTCATGACCACAGAGACATGTTCACTTCAAATGAGCTGTGAAACACAGCATCACAGTTATCTTTTATTGCTGCACCAAGATGAAGAACCGTGTTCACGGAATCTAAATACTGGTTGCCATCAAGGTTCCCTCCTACCACCTTATATGATGGCATAGAGTTCAGAATTAGTAAAATACAATTAYGTTAGTGTTTTTTGTAAAACTGTGTAATTATTTGAGGTACCACAAGAATTTATTAAATATGTTTACCTAAATTAGCATAAAACCATAAAAATAATATTTGTAACAGTTCTGAAGTCAAGTAAAAATCCAAATTTTGGACACAATTCTCATTCAATTTCAATCAGTATACGATTCAGTTTGACTATATATGAAAATAACCTTTTTTTGTGCTCACAAATAGCATATGGCAAGCCTTTTGTAACAACTTTTGAGATCCAAATTTGTCAGCTGATAACGAAATATTTAAAAATGTTTAAAGGTTGGCACAAAGTTTTTACCATCTTGAATATGAGCCTTTCTGTATAATTGTATGACACAGAAGTAAACCACACAACCACAGTTAATCGGTATTAGTCATTCTAAATAAYAATCACTTTAGACATTGTGAACATTTGAAAGGGAAATGTGTCTCCTAATGAGCTACTACAGTGTCACTGCTACAAGTTGGGCACATTAGTAAATAATTGCTTGTGGTGACACTTTTTCTATTGCATTGTTGCATAAAAAAACATAAAACAAGATGATTTAGCTCAATTGGCATAAATAAATCTGCACAAAAAAAAAAAACAGGTGAAGTATTTTTTTCTTCAAAAATATCCTGAGGTAGTGGAATGTTGCACAGCTGCTACAGAAAATATTGATGTCATCATTTTCAGCTGGTWAAATAAAACCAGACTGATTCAGATTTGAATTTATCAGGTTACTTCTCCACTAATTATTTTTACCTCATGGCCGTTTGCAGAAGAACATGTATGTGACATGAAACTGGTGCATTTATTGTGTACACAACTAAAAAGGTTTAATGAGAATGAATGATGAGTGTTGAATTATTTGTGTTACAAATGAAGATCAATTGATTTTTAAGATTGTGTAAAAAAACACTATTTATTTATTTATTTATTTTGCTGAATGGAACAAATATTTAACCAAAATTGATATTTTTGTGGAACATACATTGGCTTTGGTCTTTAAATGACTGTTAAAGAGTTCTGAAGCTGGATCATGTTATTGTAGCAGCATTATATAGTTTACATTTTCCTCTTCTTCTTCTTCTTCTTCTTCTTCTTCTTCTTCTTCTTCTTCTTCTTCTTCTTCTTCTTCTTCTTCTTCTTCTTCTTCTTCCTCCTCCTCCTCCTCTTGCTGTAGGGGCCACCACAGCATGTGAACTAATACAAAAGCTTTGACAATGGTTTTGTGCTGGATGACCTTCCTGATGCAACCTGGGCTTGAACCCTCAGCCTCAGGAAAATGAAAGCACAGCAGTGACCAACAATCTACTGCAACCCTGCAGCTGCATTATGGTAGTGGGCAAAAATGAACCTCCTTCACATTGTGGGCAGGTTTGGCCATAGAGATAAGATGAGGAGCTTCATCATTATGGGGGTGGGCGCGTGGGGTCTCAGACTACTGCATAGCAAAAGGAGTCAGGTGTAGTAGTTCGGGAACCTACTTAGGATGCCTTCTGGGTGCCTCCCTTTAGAGGTTTCCCAGACATATTGCACAGGGAGAAGACCCTGGAGCAGGTCCTGAACTAGCTGTAGGCTTCCTTCCTGGCCTGGAAACAATTTGGGATCCCCCAGGATGAGCTGGTGAATGTCACTGGGGAGGGGATATCTGGGTCTCCCTCGTGGATCTATTGCCTCCACAACCCAATCACAAATAAGCGTAAGAAAYTAGATGGATTACAGAACAGTTCTCACACTATTTAATATTAAATGATTACCACTTTGGCTATACTTTGGTTCTATCTTGTGGAGGCTGCAAACTTATTGGTTTGGCTTGAAAATGACCTATTTTCTGGGTGCTAATAGTATTGTACTGCTGGACACGTATTATTTCGTGGTCAACACAAAATCATTATCAGTCATTCCATCCATTATATAGCATCATTTTATTCCAATTAGGTATTTCTTTTAGTTTATTTGATTAAAAAATTTAAGAAGTATTTTGAATAAAAGAAGAAATGTTTCAACAACAAAGAACCTGTCCAGAGGACCTGACTCAACCTTGTTATATTTTTCTACCTGAGTTATTGAGATGCATTAAGACTGTTTGTTTTTACTTTTCAATCAATTAAGTGCATCTGCCCTTGCTATTTGTATCAGATAGCTCTGTAATATCTGACCTAAATTAAAGCCATTTCATTTCTTCACTTCATATTACATCAATAACATTCTAAAATGTTTAAATCAATTGTATTCTTTTTTTACTTGACAATTTACTGTACCAACAGTTGGATAGCACCGTTGAAAAGGATCCATTATGAGCTATTAATGGGACTGAACATCAAAACAGTTCTGGTCTCCACATCATCCATTACTTTTTATGCTCACCTTTTATTATTCATTGCTTACTCACATAATGTGTATAACTTGGGTTGCTCAGTAATAGATGGTAGCATTTATTACATTTTGTTTATCGTGTGCATTGTTTACTTATTTAACTGTTCATCTGCAAGATTAACTAAGTTATTAAATTTGCTTAAATATTTTACTTGGGGTTGGGCACATTTAAACTTTAGAAGTATTGGCCTATTATGAGCTGAAACAAAGTTTTAATTGTTTTCMTTATTACGAACAGTATAAGGTTTCAGACTTTTCTTGATTGCAAGTTTATAATTACAACTTTTCTGTTATTTGAAGCAAATATTTTCAAATAATTCTATGCAAAGGATTTAGTGTCTTTTTTACATTTTGAGGTGTATAGTTTGAAAAAGATACATTAACAGTCATGCAGGATTAATTATTTAGTAATGATGTGCTTTCTGTTTCATGCTCACATCTTTTTTTAGGTAAAAACAATTTTGTTTCAAAAAACATTTTGCTTTGCATTTAGAGAACTACTATTTGTGAAGATTTATTTTAAAAAAATGCCATATTTTAAAAGCAATACCTCGCCTATATTTTGATTTGGTTGAATTTACAAAATAGGCTACAACTGTGGTCCATGCACAAAATAACTAATCTTTTTTGCACCCTTTCAGACTTGTACTTTGAYATGCTTGTGATGCAGGATGTGTGGATTTGTGACACTTTATTCTAGCAGACAGTGAGACAGCACAGACAAAAAAACACACCATGGTGCACCGTGGCTGCGTTCTGTCTGGACACATCGCACTCAAAGGAAACTGGTGTTTAGTGGGTGTTAATCACCAATTACTAAGCTGCTTTTTTCTGTTCACAAAGCCAACATCCTGACATTCGCATGTTAAGGTTTGACAAATGAAGCATTCATTTTCTTCATGAGCTGGAGTTGATGCACAAATGACTTGCTAATGCCCAGGAGGTATCGCCTGTATCGTTCCATTAGAGTGTAATGATGCAAGAATTGAGAGAAAGAGATGACGAATAGCTAGATTTCCTCATCCAGCTTATGTGTGTTTTACCAGTATGACCACAGAATCTGCAGCTTCTGCTCTTCTTTGGGCAGACTCACATCGGTCGCACGGAAGATTATTTGGTGCCATCATGACAAGCACATATAAATGAAAGTGGGAAACTGATATGATTATTAGAGAAATGTGGACGGTGGGAATTGATTTATATGAGTTGCATTAGTGTATGCTCACACTCTTCTACCTTCTGCAGGATGCATTTAATAACTATTATTGTTCTTACGTTACAAAATATCTAATTGCTTTTTTTAATAAATACAATCTAGCAAGTCACATGTTTGGCTTAATGCATTTGAAATAAAAGTAGCAGTATAGGATATCGCACACCGCCTTGCATGCCAACATTTTAAATAAGGAGCTCATAAACTCTGTTAGCATCTCAACTACTGCCATATCAAGCTCAGTGTCTGTAAAAGTGACTAAGTTGTAACCATTTTTGTGTTTCTCGTGGTTAATTAACGGAGGCAGCCATCTTTAAACTGGTTAACTCTAAGAGTTCTTCAGCTGTAGATGTAATTCCAAGAATTGTTTTTTTTTTTTTTTTTTCAGTTTTATAAAAATCTGTCCACCAGATCATGATATATCGTATTTTGCCAACAGACACTCACATTTCGTGATAGCAGGTGATAAATATTTGGTTTGTTGCTGTGGTTAATTTGTTGTCATAATACTTTTCTCCCAACAATCCCATTTATTTGATTCTGTGAACACTGGTCTAAGCAGTAAATGTTCCTTAATGCATCTCCACATCTCTGTTAACTTGTTTCTTTCCCATCTTGATTGCTCTGAGATGAGTGGTTAAAATGATAACAGAAAGATTGTGGTCCTGTGATACAACCCCTCCCATTTGTGATTCATTTACAGAGGAAGGGGAAGCACCCCATCACCACAACCACTCCCTCTGACACTCTGCTTCTGTAGGCCAAGCATCCTTATCAAGAGACCTTTTGGACTTATTTTACTCCCTAAATGTATCTGATTAGCAGAGCATGTTACACTGAAACACTTCATGTCTCATAGAATATTTCTGCCACTCCCCTTTTTTAATGAAAAAGGCTGTCAGTTGGAGGCTCGCTAACCTATTTCTCACAATACTACAACTTATRGTGTGCCTCCTGATGTAGAACCCAAGTTAGCCAATTTGAGAGCACCGTGCTTCGAGCGATTTCCCTCCATGCTGTGGTGGGCTGCTTGTTCCCCACCACACACATCTCTCCGGGTGAGTTGGAGAGACATTCTGTGCAAACCTTCCAAAAATGGATGCATATAGATGAGACATGATTATGTGTTACRTCATGTCTCCAGAGCCCACGATTATGGATTACGGTTGAATGTGGATGAGAGCAGTTGTGAGTGCACGGGTGTGTATCTGCGTGTGCAGTTGTGCATGAACACACATGAGCCATGCATGCCTCTGTGCATGATTGCTTTTAAGCATGCAATTTGCCGCTCTGAGGGAAGAGCGGAGTAGCCTGTACCAGAGGAAGCTGTGCATGGGAGGTGTGTGTGGTGTACGTGTGTGTGGCTGTGTGTATGTGTGTGTGTGTGCATCCCCAGATCATGTTGCCCTCACGCCCATCCTCAGCCACAATCCGACCTTTCCTGCTTTCCTGAGTGGTCTATTTCCTAATAGTGGTGTCTTCGTCTGCAGCCTTAGGAAGGAAGCCAACATCACAACAGATTGTCTCCCCTCATAAATCAAAATATTACCAGATCTTTGGCCGTCATGACYGGATCCAGCCTCATCGCGTTTTGCTCTGTGTGAAACAGCAGCATTGCACACATGCTCTCATGTTGTGCCATGTTATGCAGAGCAACATGAGGAAAGGTGGGAAGCAGATCAACTGGGCATTTGTGGAATCGACTGTGCCTGCACCAGGCTGGGATTATTTCTTTATTCATTAAATAAACAGCAACAATTGGTCCAAATGTCACCCCCCACCATCACCAACACACACACCCCACCCCTTGATTTGTTGTATTTCTCAGGTTGGCTCCATCGATATACAGACGATGCCATCTACCCGCATCCTTCTCATATAACGTTTCATTAATTCACTCACAGGGCCACGGGGGGATGGAGGGGAGGGAAGCAACAAGAAGACACGGAATGAAGTGAAACACTCACAGATCCACACACGCATGCAAACAGCGCCCAAAATGGTGTGTGTGTGTGTGTGTGGATGACAGGGGAGGGTGCGTTGCGCTGCGCCGCCGCACATACCTGCCTCGTGTCAAATCTCCGAGCGGGACGCCAGCCGTGGAGTGTGGAACCGATTCCCCGGGTTCAGCGAATGGTCGGTGCTGTAGGGGAGCGGGGATGCTGGGGAGGGAAAGGGACGGTGAGGGAGGGGTGGAGAGAGCGGCTCGGTGCGCAGCTGGCTGCTAATACCAGAGCTCACAGCATCTCTGCGCGTCGGGCAGACATCACATCCTAAAGCGCTGCTTCCGTGAGGAGAACGCACACACCTCTCTGCCCCCCATCATGCCACCGACGACGATGTACCCCCGATTTGCTGGGTCTTCCTTTCTTTTTTAAAGTCGCAATCTCCTTGGTTTTATTTGCCAACACGTACACACATACACACACACACACGCACGCAAACACACACACTTCTATAGACGGGACAAAGTGTCCTGTCCTGGTGGTGGAGGCAGACAGCACCTCTGCTGCTCCTGGCTGCCCAGACTGAGGCTCTGCTCCCCGGCTGGAGAGCTTCAGTCCATCCCCCTGTACAGATCTCCCTCCCCTCTTCTCTCTCTCTCTCTCTCTCTCTCTCTCTCTCTCTCTCTCTCTCTCTCT